TCAAAAGCAGAGAAGCTGGTGAGTGCCCTGATGCCATCTTATCCAGCATTTTCAAACCATGAGCTGCAACCCACTAGTGGGTCATAAAAGCAATTTACTGCACATGATACACATTTTTTAAAAGAAAAATTAAATAGGACATAATAGAAAATATAAGAGTAAAAACAATTTTGTGAAGCTCTTTTTGCCAGCTGGCTGTGGTCAAAAAGCCCCAAAGCCAGCAGTCAAATCCAGATATTGTAGTTCAGATGAAGGAAAACAGCGCCCAAAGGGGGCAGAGAACTTGGCTGTGGTCATCAGCCATTTGGGGACCTGGGTCCAGCTCATTGCTAAGTCAGTGCTTGGGTCAGGACCCAGTGGTTGGTGCAGAGCAGTATCCTCAAAGGGAGATGGGCAGCAATACCAAGGGAAGAATCAAGACATCATTCCAACTTTCCCATACCAAAGAAACACAGGAAGCCTCTTTCTTCTAATCAACAGTATTTCCCTCAATACAGTGAGGGGATGGACTGAATGACCTCTGCCAATAAATTAACTTTCTGGCCCAATCATACATCAGAGCAGATCATGTCACTCTGGGACCTTCCTGACTAATGCACCTCACCCCAATCTAAGCTACATAAGACAGTGAGTTGCTGTTTTTGAATTTTCAAAACTCATATAGGGAGTCTATCACCTGAAGTGGGCCCCAATTTTGAAGCATTCAAATGTAATCTTTAGAAGTTGCTTCAAGGTCCATCATGGGGCTCCTGGGGACAAAGGTCATAACCAAGTTCATGGGTCCTTACCCACTACCATAGAGTATGTGCTTTACAGCTTGAAAGACACACTAGCGGGCACAAGAAATTCTCTCTTGTTCCAAGAATCCAAAGTTCAATATATTTTTTAACTTCTATGGTTTTTTATTTGAGAAAATATGCTCAAAAACTGGAGATAGTATTTCACTGAGCTAAAGGCTCCCTTCAGCAACTTTTCTGTCTTGGTTACAATAACCCAGGATGTCTAGAAGGTTTTTTGGCATGTATGTAAAAGGTGGATGACTCTATTTAGTGGTACTTCTCAGGCTATGGGGTGCAAATATTCCTCCACCAGGATGCCCCTTTTCAGGTGGTACAAAGAGGCAGGAAATGACATCTACTTTGTCCTCTACAATTTTTCCTGTAAATTTCTGACACATGGTATCATTGCACTGGGGAGATCTGTGCATTCTAATTACCACTGATGCACGGCACAAGGACCACAAGGAGTGTGTACCCTAAAACAGTGTTCAGAAGGCTGACACCCACCAACCCAGACAGGAAAAAAGCTAACAGTAGGCAATATCAGACTAGCTTGAGATTCAGAAACTTCATCAGATCAGACATTCTTGTGGACAAGCTGAAACAGAGAAGGAAGAAAACGAATACAAATACTGAGCAAATAAAGAGCATAATGAAAAAAGAACCGTCTAGTGGGATTACACAAGTCAACCTACACACGGAGGGAAGGAGGGGGAGGGGAGAAAGCGGTAAAGTAGCTACAGCAATTTCTGAAGGCAAGCGCTGGCCCTGTCATGGTGGATTTCATACACAACTGAGACTGCTGGTGATGAAACATTAGGAAGATACCACTGTGCTAACAAGATCTGTGGAGCCCCCTGGACAAGTAGGGCACAGGACTCCATCCCCAAAGAGTTACGGAAATGCTGCTGTGGCTACAAACACATAGCAACAGGCTTACCTTCTCAAAAAGTGACATTACACACAACCTCTAAGACAAATAATGCTATCCCAGGAAGAAGGATGTTCTGTCTGTATGTCTCAGAAAAACTGGGACATTATCTCCACTGGGTCTCTCCTGCCCCAAGTCATGAACACTCTAGTTCAGTGCTGAAGAGAAATCCCCAACAACCCTGGGGATTGCCCTGGGGTCTTTTTAGACAGACATCCAACTCAACACATTGTTCCCAGGGGCCTGGGGCAGCACCCTGAACAAAGGTGTCAGAAAATAAACTCACATGGAAAACTGCTCCAGAGCCTTAGCCCACCCGGATGCTCCCTGCTACACAACCCACAATATTGTAGGATCTTCAGCAAACTTGTTGTGATTATTTAGTACATATAGAAGAACCCCCAGTAAGTGTGAAAGGGCTCTCCTTATTTGTTTAGTTAAGGAGAACTAAAAATAAAGTCAGAATCCTCAAGAAATTTTCCACCAAATAAGAATTATTTCTCTCATGAAATGTTCTGTGATTTAAAGGCAGGGTTTTTTTGTTTTTTTTTTTTCCCCAACCGAGTTCCTACTAATCAGGGTCACAATAAATTCCACTTAATAGTAAAGATTCTACAAAACATGCTGGTTGGCCAAAGTCCTATAGCTTTCTTGCTTCTAAGCGACACTTCAAGGAAACCTTACAATGAAACAGTTGTGTAGGTAACTACCTCCATGTCAGCACCTCAAAGGGCCTGGAAAGGGGTAAAGCAGTAACATTTTAGAATCAAATCTCAAACAGGCGCCACGGCCTCCCAGATTTGGCTCCTGCCCATCTCTAACCTTGATCCTGCAGCAATAAGTGGTATGTGTATTTTAAAATATTATAGTTTTGGGCCCTCCCTGATGGTACAGTGGGTTAAAGCTCAGCATTACAAAGCTAGCTGTAGCCATTACAGCATGAGTTTAATCTCTGTCCAGGGAGGTGACCTGCACGAGGTGGCAGACCTTTCCTGTCTCACCCACTGCTCCTCTCAGCAGTGTATTTCAGTAGATCTGCCTGTTCTGCTTCCCACTCTGTGTCTGGTGAATTCTTTCAACCCCCATGCCTCTGGCCTGTACCCCAGTTGTTTTATACATAATTAAATAAATCTTTTTAAAAAATTAGTTTTAAAAAGGAACAACAGCAAAAAAGAATACCTTCAGCCACATAATGATGACATGAAATTCAAGTTTCAAGGTCTATAAACAGTTTTACTAGAACACAGGCTGTTTGCTTCTGTATTGTATAACACAGCTTTCCAACTACAATAGCAAAGTTGAACAGTTGAGACAGAAACACTATGGTCTGAAATTTTACCTACTTCTTTACAGAAAGTTTGTCAGCCCTCCTACCTATACACATGCTAAGTATATACCTCTATACTTCTGTGATCTTTGCCACTTACCTCTTTGCATAGCCAGCTTCTTGACCTTAGTTCCTGGCTCAACTGTCATTTACACTGAGTGGCCTTTCTTGAATATCTAGCGACACCTACCCAACTTGACCATGTGTAATTCCCTCTGTACCTCTGACCTGAAACTGTGTGGTTCATCTGCTTATGAGCTATCTTTCCAGATGACTATACTATGAACTTTCTAACAGGGACTTCTGCCGTTATGTGTGCACTCTGCTCACACTAATTAGTTCTATGAAAAGAGCAAAGTCATCTCCCATTCTCAGTCTCTCACCATCAGAGATCAAACTGAAAAGACTGCCTGGCTTTGAGTGTCACACTATAGTTCGTAAGGTAAGAACAAGCAGCCACATAAAATCTACCACACTTCTCAAAGGTCTAAGAAGTTATAGATAATTTAGGGGAGCCTGTAAGTTGAGAACAATATGTATTTTATGCCAAAAGGGAAAAAACAGGGTGTGTGCATGTACAGAGTCTACCATCTTGGCCTCAGGCCTGAGTGACAGGTGCCCAGGGCTTTAAACCTCCTGCTTGGGCCTGTCCTCTGCCCATCAAAGAGGACCTGCCATTTCAGAGGGACTCAGCTCTGATTAAAACATAACCTCATGCCTATAAATAGAAATGTCTTTTAAACAGTAATTAAAAATAACAGGCTGGCATTTGGAAACTCTTATAAACAAAATATAAGAGGAGTTGAAATAAACAGCAACAGTTGCAACTTCTGATCTACCTTCAGGTGGGGCAAAAGCTATGTGTCTTTGCTTGAGTTTTTCAAGTAACTGCTGAACTTATGGAGTGCGTTCAATACGTCTACCAATGTCCACCACATCTTTGATTCTAACAATGAGCTGGCTTTTCTTTTTTTTTCTATTTCTTTTTAATATTGTGAAATTAATGTTAACAATGTTTTATTAAAATATCAACTTGACATGGTAATTAATAAGAAATTACTGAGGTATCTTGCAATCTTTTTGACTTCTCTTTGATATCCACTGTGCATTTCAGACTGACAGCATGGCTCAATTCAAAATCACCACACAACAATGGTGTAGCGGCCACTGGCGCCCAAAGATGCCAGTTTAAACAGATGGCATTGCTTCAAATGTTCAGCTATTTCCAACTTAGTTACATTTTATGAGGTTTACATAAAAAAGCCTCTTGTCCTCAATTGTATATTTGTTTTATTATTTAAAATGACTAAATATACTAAATATTCATATTTGCATTTGTTATATATGTAAATATGCATAAATATATATGTAACACATTTATATGTAATATAAATATTTATACACATTTACATATATTTATATTTAATATATGAAATATTTGTTATTGAACTCATCTTGGCATTACATGCATTCTTATATATTAAAAGTTATAAGGCACCACATCAAATTGCTTTCCTAGAAGCATCCAATTTTGCTTTTCAAATCACAGCTGTTAAGATTTTTCATTTTCCTTTATACATGGCTTCCTTACTGTCTCAACTGAATGCAACCAAGATACTAAGGTGCACTGGAGCCAAGTTTCCTTAATGTACAACAGGATGCTGGCATCACTACCACGCTGCCTGAGTCTTAATTCAAAATAACTTGGCTTTACCTGCTCCTTATTTTTAGGAAGCTCATGTGCATCTTCATGATTTAGGACAACTTACAATCTCAAAATACCCGTAATAGCCAGGGTCAGAGCCCACTGCTGGAGCAAGGACAACCAGGGAAGCAGGCTGCACTTTGCTTGAAGTACTTGCTTTTCATTCAAAAGTATCTGGCAGCATGGATTATGTTTCAACAGTTTGGAAATGCAACAGAATAAATACTCTTTACACACACCAAGAACCCTCCCAAATACCTCTGCATCCTGCTCAGGGAGGTGGTATGTCCTCTCAAGGCTTCGCAGAGTTCGGGGACTCAGGGTCTTCTGCTCCAAAAGATGTTCCAGAAGTAGGATCAGCTGATCGGGAAGAAGCTGAGGGTAAAACCAAACAACTTGTGAAAATGTCAACTAGCCTATGAGAAACTAAAATCCAAACATTTAGTCTAAATATAGCAAATCCAGGACAATTCAAAAGCTGTCTGAAGCACAGGAGACTGTAGACTTGACTCTGGTTAAACCTTGGAGTTTACATCATATCCCCAAAGACAATACATTTTGTGGTTCCTATTTGCCATGGTCTTTTTATGTTAGACTTACTTCAGAACAGGTTAAAACTGTGTTAATGTAGTTTATTTTTAGGTTGTATAATGTAATATTTTAGGTGTACAAAATTATGTCTATATACATATATATACACACAGAAAGAAATAAAAGTTATTCATATCTATTTTTTAAAGATTTATTTATGTATACTTAAAAGTATCACCTTAATTATTATAGTTCTACATTATAAAGTGTGCTTTCTTTTTTTAATTCATCCTAAATTCTTATAAAGTCCCTAATTCTACACACAGGCAGTACTGCTTAGATCAGCTAGGCAATGCCTAGATCAGCTTCTAGTGCAAAACAGCTTTAGAATCATCTATGAACAGAGGAATAAACAAATTTAAGATTCAACACATTGAAACTAAAAAATTGTTTTTCTAAAATCAAATTTTATAAACCAAAACTACTCCTTAATAACTTAACAAACGTATTACAACTTCAAAAATAAAATCAAGGTTTTAAAATTACTACTATTATTCTACTATTCTCTACATTTAGCTTTGCTACATCTCTGGTTATGCTTCGATAATCCCTGTCAACTAACCATGGAAGTCAATACTAGAATAAACAAAACATGCACAAGAACACCTGTTAACCCCCACTTCATTACTATTAAAGAGCACTCCCTCTAACTTTCTGGCCCCACCTGTACAGTCTGCTATCCACATTCTCTCACATTCATAGAGGAAATCTGGATAGACTACCATGAAAAACATGTAACATCACAAAGAATTTTTTTTACCTCACCCTAAATTCTTATAAAGAGCCTAATTCTATACACAGGAAGGCATGGACACAGATCACTTGGATTTTTTTATTTTATAGTATCACCCCATGCACTTAGGAGCCATCCTGGGGCCCTCCCTTGGGCTGATGGGAAAACAACTGTGCCTTCAGCAAAAAAAAAAAAAAAAAAAAAAAAATCAGCACTGGCCTGTGATGTGCTACACACAGCCTTCCATTAGGCTAAATGCCTGCAGGATGTTTAAAAAATTATGACATAATAACCAGGAACAAAATGTCAGCTTTCCATCTTTCTACAGTTTTATATTCATGAGGCTACTTTAGATATTAACAGAAATCTGTTGTTTTTTTTATAAAACAGGCCAATTCCAGGATACCAGCTTCCTAAACTCTTCCTCCTACAATGAGCACTTGGAGGAATGGAAGGGTGGGTAGTATTGTGGATAGCCCATTTCCTCAGGTTCTGCAGGCACCTTATGTTGTTAGGCACTCCCAGCTACATCCCCTCCTTCCCTCCATGCCCTCCCTGCAGGTTCCTCCTCCAGATCTTCCTAACCTGGGTCCCCAAGGAGGTCCTTTTCAGCTTCCAGGTCTCACTTCTGAGTATACCATTCAGTTCTCCTGAAGCCACTGCTCAACTACCCTCCTGCACATAAACACTTTTCACCCATTCCTAGCAACCTCCCCCTAACCACCCAGTCACCCCAAAATATTGTTTTCCAAAGTGTGCTCTAAATGGGGAGGGCTTATAGAATGCTGGGAGGGGCGCCTGACTGGCATCTCACAGCAGGTCAGTAGCACTTTTCCAGGCAGCCATTTCCTTTCCTTGGCACCAGCAGCTGAATGTTGAGGGGCTCTGGACAGTCGAGCCAAACAGAAGAGATCACCTTTAACAGCTCTGATACAGCTTAGGACAAGAAGCCATGAGCCATGCTCACTGGCCGAACACAGAAAGAACCAGCCATGACAATATCCAGAATTATAGAGGAGCAAAGAGTCAAAAGAAAAGCACCTTCTGATTATGTGCCCACACTTGCAAAAAGGCGTATACTTAGAACTCCAGTTTGGGTATTTTGGTTTAAATTCAAGACCCCAAATGGAGAGAAACCTTGTATAAGAAGCTTGGTCCTTAGCTTCCCCCAAATGGGTTTACTAGTGACTAAATACAATTCCAGTTTAATTAAAGAATGACTAACATGGGAGCCTCATTGATGGCACAAGGGGGTGTGTGGCACTGTGAAGGCATCTGCTGCCACTGCAGCAGTTCGATCCCCAGCCAAGGAGCTGACACACATGGCAAGGCAGACCTCTCAGCATTGTATTTCGGTCAATTGCCTATTCTGCTTCCTACTCTGTCTCTCGTGAATCCTCTTGCCACCCCTCAATACCCTTGTACCCAATTTCTTGTTTGCATAAATCTTTTTTTTTTTTTAAAGAATGACTAATATGGAAAGTTGTCAAGGCAAGAAAAGTCTAAATTCAGATTTTTCTATCTCTTACACTTTTCTTCTAAGCAGAAATTTCAGTTATCTTAAGAAAAGTAGATGACCAGAAAGGACCACTGAAAATTTCTGTCTTCTCTATATTTCATCAATACAAATGGTTAAAGTAGAGTCCCATGACTTATGATAAGAGAGCTAAGATGGAAGGGAGGAAGTCAAAGTTTTATGGTTTTTAAGTCTAACTTACTCTAATTGGAGAGCAGGAAAGAGCAGGCACACACCCAGTCAGGTAGCTCTCCTCCCTCACTAAGGGTGAAAGGGTTGCAAGAGCTGACTTGTTCAGGGGCAGGCAGAACACAACAAGGGCCGACACACTGACATGAGAACATTCTTCCCAAATGCTGGGAGTTCTGCTAGTCCCCCTCTTCAGAGTGTCTGTCACTTAGCAAACGACCTGCAGCCATTCCAATTCATGAAAATTTTAAGTTTCCAAACAGTAAGAAGAGTAGTGAAAAAAAATCTGATTAAATGTTACTTTAGCACACAGACAAAAATGAATTTAATATATTTCGGTCACAAATGAGTAAACATTTTTTTTTGCATAGATCACACACCTTGAAAAAGAGAATATTAAAGCCAACATGTGGTGAGCAACTCATTTTAATACTGTATACTACTCTTGATAAAATAAACATCTACTCATGTAGAGCCACCCAACAATGAAAAGAAATACTATGTAATAAGCCAAAATGTTTGCAAAGCAGCTGAAAGATGAAGATATCATACACTGCAAATATGCTCAGGCGCAGAACTGGGCACGCCTCGTCTTGGCAGTTGGCACCACAGCAATGGGAAATGGTGTGTGGGTCATTCCATTCCCACCCACATAGAAATCAAATTAAATTTCACATGACTTCTAGGTCAACTGTGTCTTAATACAGCAGTACTGAGGGAAACAGACATGGCTTCAGTCCCAACATGGAGTAATGAAGAAAAACAAAGTACAAGTTTCAAAGCATTATCTCCTGAGAAAGCAGCTTCTTTTAAACATTATGAAAAGAACCTGCCTTTATTTCTGAGGGCCTAGTGGCACTCACACCACTAGCGATAGGAATAAAAATTCTTTTCCTTTTCATAAATGTGGACTTTAGGATGGGGTTATTGTTATTTTTTTCCATATGGAGCCTAACTCAGTATTTTTAAAATGCATCTGCCTTGGAAACTTCAGGCAGAATAAGACTACAGGATGCCAAAGTCAAGTGAGTACTTGAAACAGAGAGCTTTAACAGCCTGTAAAACTTACTCACACATGAAAAATCAAAAGCTAAAGATCAGTCAATTACAAATGCTATTTGTTAAGGCTTTACATGTCTGCATTCTTGCTTGAAACATGCAGGATTCCACAGTTGCAAAAAAAAAAAAAGCCTACCTGGTATACTGTTCCTATTCAACTTAAAAGTTGTGACAAGGTACACAACTTTGAAAGGTTGTTAAGAGCTTCTAAATACACTCTCAAAAGAAAATACTTATTTTCCGAACCTGCACCCCCTAGCCTGCCAACAGCACAAAGAAAACAAATCCTGACTCTTCCAGAAGCCTCTTTTTGCTGTCACGAGGGCATCACTCACACTCAGCTCCCAGAAGACCACCCACACAACCGAGGCTCCACTATTTCTTCCAAGAGCAGGAGGCAGGAAAAGCCTGGTTCTCCTACTAGATCGGAAAATGTCAGAACGCATCTCATACTGACCTTCCCCAAGCAGTACCCCTGAACCAGCACACGCAGATGTCACAGAATACTGCAACCCTTCAAAAGCAAAGGAGAGTACCCCCACTTCCCCTGGAGGTGGTGGTGGGCACACTGCAGCTTCAGGAATACATTCTGAGAGGCTCCCAGAAGAAAGGGGATCGAGCCTGGATGAGCCTGGGACTTCTGCAGCCCCTGACTGTCAGTGGCGTGAGTTCTATTATTACCCCATTATCATTCTGGGATCTGTGCCTAAATGAAGCATGCTTCCTCCCTGATGCCATTTCCTTTTTATCCTGGCTGCAGACTAAAAGCAGATCAATGGGAGCAATACATATGATGTCACTTCAATTTACAGCAATGGCCTCCCTCTCTTTTTCAGTCTGTCTGAAATACACAAAAAGATCAATTCTTCCCAAAAATGGTTAAAAAATGCTTAGGGAGCATTCTTCTTCCAGAAAAGCATTCTCTGCTATATTTGTCTATGTTACTACGGCAGGGACTGTTTACATGGAACAAAAACAGAAGAAATGGGGGAGGGAGAAAAATCTCAAATTTTCCTGCATGTTAGGGACATACTGGCTGAAATTCAACACTAGCAGGGTTCAAACCAGAACTGAAGTAGTTGACCCTTGAAAGTCACTAGCAGAAGTCTTTGCCTACGGGCACAGTGGAGGTAGAGGTTCTCCTTTGGATTAAATAGGAAATCCCATAGGTAGAATCTCCCCCTAACCTGTTTCCAGTCCATAGTATGAGAACAAACATTTCCCACTCATAGTTTCCTTATTATGAGAGACTGGGAATTCTGAGTACAGGAGAAAGAAAGAACAGAA